GACCTGGGGATTGGGTATTAGAATTAAACTCCTTCATTTCCAAGAGGTCGCTCTATTAACTGGTAATCTGGACATTCACAGTCAAACCCTTTAGACATGTTTGTAACGACTGCCACGACTTTACTTGCTCTCTTCGCAGTAGGTGTTTTTGCTGATGAACACTTGAAAACAGCACAAAGCGGACAATTTGTTCCCTTTACAACATTGTGTTCCTTAAAAGTAGTTGCCGATGGTAAATCTTGGGAGGTCGCATTCTATGAAGGGAACAAAAGATTGGTCGGGTTTGGAATATATCCTGAAACCTATGGGGGATTGTTAGGTGTCCAAAACGAGGTGTACAAACGGGGAAGTTTTTACTGGAACCATCAGATGACGGAGTACAAGTACCCAAGTGGAAATAGCCAGCAAGAATTCCTATTTGAGTTCCGGGACAATGAGTTTGTCATGCTATGTGAAGGAAAGTCTGTCATCTCCATACCCTACGATGAGCTAACGCATACGTGGGATCCTCAAGAGTTGTTTGTGAAGAAGATAAATGGAATCCGGTTATTTTCATACGAGTCTGATCTCAAGTTCGCTCCGTCATGTTCCACAGGTGGGTCAAAGTCCCCAATGCTAAGTATGTACGATGGCTCTGACCAAAAAGGGAGTACCATTGTACTCAAAAGTCCAACTCCAAACTTCGTTGATATATATTGGAATGATAGAGCCAACAGCTTTTTCGCACTCAATGGAGATTGGGAACTTTACACGGGGACTACATACACGGGTGACAGGTTCTTCGTGGAGGAAGGTCAGATGTTAAACGCAAAAAACAAGAACAGTTATTCCTCAGGAAGACCTGCTAATTGCCGCTACATTTCCGATCCTGCGACAGCTAGATTACGTGTCTCTACAAGTTCCCATCTTCAGTATGAGTACGGTGTCAAGAAGGAGGAGTATCTCACCCCGCAAACAGTTTTAGGAGATATGGACGATAAAATAACCTCTATGGTTGCCGACAAAGGAGACTGGGAGATGTATACCCTTCCAGGCTATCAAGGTGACAGAAAAGTGATAAAAGAAGTAGAAGAGATCGAGCACCTTGGTGGATTCAACAACAAGGTTAGTTCTCTGAGACCAATCTGTGAGACATACAAAGGAAAAGGAAAGTGTGCACTGGAAAGAATCGAAGTATTGGACAAGGAAGGAGACTTAGAACCCAAGTACACTGGAACTGAAATCATCGGCTCTCAATCCAGTGGATCCTGTTACGGACCAGCCGAACACGAGATCGTAATCACGCAGACAGATGCTGTAGAGGAAACAATAAGTCTCGAAATTTCTAAAAAAGATGAAGTAAACTGGGACGTAAGCGCATCTGCATCAGTTGAGGTTAGCGTAGGATTTATGGGAACTGGATCAACTTTCTCAGCGGGTTTGTCTGTCGGAGCTGGCGGAGCTATCACTATGGGAAGCTCTAAAACAACAGAATCGACAACTCTGAACGAGAAAGAACACGGACAGGTCACTAAGTTAAATGTGCCGGGTGCAGGGATCGTGTTCGGTATTGTGGACAGGTATGAGATTGACCAGGGTGATATACCGGTGAAATACCACCTGATATGTCCGGACGGGGATACTGAAACAGTGGACTCCACTATTGCAATGAAACAAGTTTCCTTCGGGTCAGCTCACTTTTGGTCACTGACAGGAGAGTTCACTAAAGAAGCGTGCAGAGCAGACAGGAGCCTACCAGATTGCGTTGCAAATGTGAGAAAGAACTTTTCGAATTTTATCGGGCAGAAATCAGAGATTGAAGATGCGTTTGAGGCATGTTTTGCCGATGGTAAGGGAGAATTTAGACGGATGAAACTAGTTAAAGTCTAACTAGATCACTAAGGACAATTTCTTTATTTTAACATGGGTATTTCATTCGTTGACTTTAGTTTGTCATTGAATCAAAACTATTTTAAATTGCAATATTTTCTGATCATAATTTGTAGATTTAAACTTTTGGTAAAAGTATTTTAGTTAACAATATTTCATTATTATCGTTTACTTATGTCTACAGTCATGCTTGCCAGCATTGTGTTTGCTAAATATTGACTTTGATAAAGATTTCACACTAGAAATTACCACTTTGACTAAAAATTACCAACCGAACTCAAACTTACCGCTTTAAATTTGGTACAAAATGGAGGCTATAAGTATAAGTTTAAATACATTTCAATAAATCGATCATTCAAATTCAGGATGTATGTAACTACTGCCACGACTTTGCTCGCTCTGATCGCAGTAGGAGTTTTTGCCGCTGATGAACCTAAGCTAATCCTCTACGACAACTCTAACCAAGAAGGAACTTCCGTTACACTGACTGGTCTATCTTCAAACTTCAATGATGTAAGTTTTAATGATAGAACTGAAAGCGTTTGGGCAGTCACTGGAGATTGGGAACTTTACTCGGGATACGATTACAATCTCGATAGGTTCGTTGTGAAGGAAGGCATGAGGTTAAATGCAAAAGTCAGGAACGCTTACTCCTCAGCCAGACCTGCTAATTGCCGCTACATCGCCGATGCTACAACAGCCAAATTACGTGTCTCTACGAGTTCACATCTTCAGTATGGAACGACGGATTACCTGTTGCCACAGAAAGATTTAGGAGAAGATATGAGAAATAAGATAACTTCTATGGTTGCCGACAAAGGAGACTGGGAGATGTATGAGTGGACAGGCTATACAGGTGACAGAATAGTGATAAGAGAAGGACAAAAGATCGAAAACCTTGATAGTAAGGGATTCAATAACAAGATCAGTTCTCTGAGACCAATCTGTGAGACATATAAAGGAAAGGCAAAGTGCGCACTGGTAAAAATCGAAGTATTGGACAAAAAAGGACAATTAGAACCCAAGTACGCTGGAACTGAAATCATCGGCTCTCAATCCAGTGGATCTTGTTACGGACCAGCCGCACACGAGATCGAACTCACACAGGTACATGGCGTTGAAGACGTGGTAGCTCTCACACTTTCTAAAGAAAACGAAAAGCACTGGGACGTAACAGTGTCCGCAGAAGCATCTGTTGATGTAGGATTCATGGGAACTGGATCATCTTTCTCAGCGGGTTTGTCTGTCGGAGCTGGCGGAGCTGTTAGTATGGAAACCTCTAAAACAACAGAAACAAAGACTATCAGCGAGAAAGGACACGGACAGGTCACGGAATTTGCAGTGCCGGGTGCAGGGATCGTCTTTGGTCTTGTGGACAGGTATGAGATTGAACAGTCCGATTTACCAACCAAGATGCACATGACATGTCCGGACGGGGACAAAATAGTTGAATCCTCTATTGCAATGAAATCGGTTTCCTTCGGGTCAGCTCACTACTGGTCACTAACAGGAGAGTTCACTAAAGAAGCGTGCAATGCAGACAGAAACCTCCCAGATTGCGTTCAAAATGTGAGAAAGAACTTTTCAAATTTTGTAGGGCAGAGAAGGGAGATTGAAGAAGCGTTTGAAGCATGTTTTGCCGGTGGTAAGGGAGAATTTAGACGTATGAAAAAGGTCCGAGTCTAACTTGATCAATATACTATACTACTATACTATACTATTAAGGATACAGTCTTGATTTACACGGGATCAATCATACGTTGATCTTTTGTTGATTTAAATTAGATTTAAATTTTTGGTAAAAGTATGTTAGTTAGCAATATATTTTTGTGCTTTGGTCTATTGGATGTTTAAGTTGTATTAACTTTTTACTTTAAGTAAATTCTCACATTTCTTTTCTTAACTTAATGTTGCATAGGTATATACAATATGCTGTACAATGGTAGAACTAGCATTATGTTCAATTGTGTAACAATAGAGTGAGGCCTAAGCACCAACCTGTAGTGATTAATTTTCTCAATCAGCTCCTGTTAAGATTACATTTATAGAGTTTATCAAAAATTAAATATTTTCTGCATTCAGTGTGTGATTTTCTAACTACCTTATCGGACCTTATTTGGACGGACATTGATTGAACGCTGAAGGCCCTAACGTTCATCTTAATGTCCGCTCAAATAAAGTCCGTTCATTTAAGGTCCGTTCAATTTAAAGTCCGTGAATCTTTTCAAAAAATTTTCCTCTTCGATCTTTTTGTCCAGAATATGACAAATATGAGAACTTTATTGTGCCTTAACTTTAAGTTAACGGCGGAAAGGTTCTCCTTGGTCTGCCGGAGGCACAGAAAACTCTACTAGTATATGATGTTTTCGAGGGTCGTACGTACCTTTGCAGCATGAGACAGTGGATAAACAGACAAGACGTACCTTTGCAGCATGAGATAGTGGATAAAAAGACAAGACGTACCTTTGCAGCAGGAGGACATTAATTGAACGCTGAAGGCCCTAACGTTCATCTTAATGTCCGCTCAAATAAAGTCCGTTCATTTAAGGTCCGTCCAATTTAAAGTCCGTGAATCTTTTCAAAAAATTTTCCTCTTCGATCTTTTTGTCCAGAATATGACAACTATGAGAACTTTATTGTGCCTTAAGTTAACGGCGGAAAGGTTCTCCTTGGTCTGCCGGAGGCCCAGAAAACTCTACTAGTATATGATGTTTTCGAGGGTCGTACATACCTTTGCAGCATGAGACAGTGGATAAACAGACAAGACGTACCTTTGCAGCATGAGATAGTGGATAAAAAGACAAAACGTACCTTTGCAGCAGGAGATAGTGGATAAACAGACAAGACGTACCTTTGCAGCATGAGACAGTGGATAAACAGACAAGACGTACCTTTGCAGCAGGAGATAGTGGATAAACAGACAAGACGTACCTTTGCAGCAGGAGATAGTGGATAAACAGACAAGACGTACCTTTGCAGCATGAGACAGTGGATAAACAGACAAGACGTACCTTTGCAGCAGGAGATAGTGGATAAACAGACAAGACGTACCTTTGCAGCAGGAGATAGTGGATAAACAGACAAGAGGTACCTTTGCAGCAGGAGATAGTGGATAAACAGACAAGACGTACCTTTGGTTTGTTGCTGCTGGTGTTGGTCAGCAAAGAAGCGGAGCTGGGGGAGGCGGATAACTGTCGACTCCCTGGTTCGAGCTTGAGTGCTGAGTCAGCTGCTATACTCCACTCCGGTACCTCCAGTGTTGCAACCTCGTTAGTCATGGTGTTCTCTCCTAGCTCGAGAACTTAGATTTTATGAATGATATTGATAAACTCTGCTGAAGATTATTGATTGCATAGTTTATTAAGTCAAAGTGGTCGGTGATTTCCGCAATAGGACGTATTTACCATTACAACTTTACAACATATCATGAGTGGAAGCTTAGCATAAAAAGCTTGATGCAAACAGTCAAGACACCAGCCTTTACGCCATAGGGCTTCCAATCCATTGGAAAACGAAACAACGTGAAACTTCGTAACTTTAATACTGGGGTACCTCAGAATAACTATACAGTAGCTCATGATACAGCTCATTCACTAGGCCCGCACATGCCTTGGCCCGTTTCCTGTCCTTCCACAATCGAATTCCTTGTTTCATCGAATTTCATGACAATATTGTGTGTAAAGCAGCTGTGTAAAGCGTTCTGGTCCCGAAAATGATGTAAACTTTGAGTTATATCGTGTTATTGAGGACTGATAGAGGATTATCAGTCACGTGAGTATTGTGCCCTCATAACACACGTACGCTCATGCAACAGAAATGTGTAACCCAGTGTATACTGTATACTGTGTATAGGGTGTTATAATCTCTAGATACACCCTTTTTCATGGATTATACCAGTGGACAAACTGCAATATTATAGCTCAGAGGATGTTGAAATATCTATCATTACCCGCATTTGTGCACAGACATCCTGAGCTACTTGCCAATGATTTAGTCTTATGGGTACCTATGCAGTATGCATGGTAGAGCACAGCAAGACAGACCAAGACAAAGCTACTTGTCTATGTTACTGAAGGAAGTTGGGACAAACTCTAAAGAGGAACTGCGAATCCTGATGCGGGAAAGGGATATATGGAGGGGGTTATCTGGCGTAGATCGGACTTAGTTCCGACATAGTTGATAGTAGTAGTGTGCACAGATCGGTCGAAATGTACTATAAGTGCAATGATCAGTAAAACAGTCAGTCGAATCGATTTGTAAAGTAACCAACAATAATTTGATCATTTAAATTCGATAATATTGAGCGAGCTAAACGTTTGGTGCTCCTTAATGTCATTAATCTAACATTGAAAATATACTTCAAAACTAACTGTACACACTACACAAACATTCAAACAAAGGTGAAATTTCAGTTCCATAATAATTTCACTGTTGCAGTGCACATGTGCACTGTTCACTAAAATAATTAACGAAAACTTGTCCACATTAGTAATATATGCGGGGTCAATGCTAGGGAGTGCTATTTTAATCTTTATTAATTTATTAAGACTACTAGAGATGTTTAAATGGAAAATCATAATTCTTATAATCTCACTATATCTATACTATAAATACGGCTTAATCAAGAAAGGGGTACGAGTGACGGGACTGGTTTTTTTTTGTATAGTGCCGACAAAACTCTGACGAAGCCAAATGATTAAGGTTTTTCAAATCGGTCGGTGGTAAGTGGTTTAATTGGTCATTTTGTGACCCAAATGTGATACTAAAGTGTTTCACTTACTTTCCCTCTGCACTGTCTCACTTTCGCTCTCTCTCTCCCCTTATCTCCTTATAACAGATTTGCTATATAATTAGGTAATTTGGTAGGGGACCTCAAGATTGCCTATCAAGTATAATTATTAGATACGTGAGGGTATTCAGAATTAAATTGCGGTGTGTTCTGACAGAGTGAGTTCATATTTTCGCACCGTTTTATAACTACGAAAATGTAATGCGATTTTAGAATGTAATAGGCGGGTTTATATTTTTGCATTTCAACTTCATCGAAACAATTGCTAGTGCCTTAAACCTTTAAACAGAACTAATGGCCACCATATTGCATTTATGGTAAAAAAAGATATTTTTAAAAAGATATAAAAAAAGCATATATTCAAAACACAAGCTCGTGTTTCAACATTGAACAGTTTGAATTATTCGTTAGGAGTTGATTTGCGTGAATAATCATTGTAATTCAATACATTTAGTTAGATTAAATTAGATCAGAACTCAAAGTATGACATGAACCGCGGCCATTAAACAATATCAGAAGTTAAGTTTTTATTTATCACATAGTGGGTTTGATGGTGACAAGGCCGGTTTAATTGTAGGAGGTAATACTAATAATATACTGCTCAATGTGTACTTTAGTTAGATAATATACTGCTGCTCAATGTGTACTTTAGTTAGGTAATATACTGTGTCAGAGTATCAGGGTTATACGAAAGGGAACAAGGTCTAAAATTAGAAAACCATCATAAACAGATAAACGACTAAAGATCATTGAATGTATAGGATACGAAATAGGTTTGCAGATGAAGAGGGGACGAGATTTAAATGTAATTACCATAAAACCCAGTACTGTTACACTCCTTTATAATATTTATAATCTTATCTCGTCACGGGGGCCAAGGTTTGTTTTTGAAACTGGGTCGGGTTTCAGTGTGATGACGAGGTTGCTTGTGTTTCACATATTAGCAACCACTCCACATCCGGTCATGTTATTAACTGATAACAAAGATTCAGAGCAGCCACATGTAATATAATTCACTTAAACTATCTGGTTGATTGGTATAACTGCGTATTATTTGATGTAATTGGAAAACAATAGATTCTCATCAACTGCCCGATTAAGTAACTTTATTTTATAATATTCAACTGTTAAAAGGAGAAAACAAGTTTCATAATAAATGTCTAGACAAATCAATATGATAACATTTTCTTTAGTCTAGTCATCAAATGTTTGATGGAAGATGCTGCAGAGTTTCCAGGAAACACTGATGTAGATCTAGACGGAGCGAGTGAGTTGGCTAGTAACCGTAAGCACTGGAGGGAGATGAAACGACACAAACTTTGGTGCAGGCCACTCGAATGATTACTTACTTGTAGTTGTACTTGATTAGGTCTCCCCGATCATTCGAGTGGCCTGCACCAATGAACTCCGTTTGTGTTGTATTATCTCCCTCCAGTGTTTGCGGTCACTAGCCATCCCGCTCACTCCTTCAGCCTTCTAGATCTATATCAGTGTTTTCCTGAAAACGCTGCAGAAACTTCCAGCAAACATTTCATCCAGCTCTTTCTTGGACGACCCCTAGATTTTCTCTCATGCGCACGCGCAGGGGTCCAGTTAAGCAAGTTAAGGAGGCCTAATCAAGTACAAGTTTACAAGTAAGTTGTACTGCTCAATATACTCAATACTCATCACTAGTTTTGCATTAATTATATACTTATACTGTAAATTGTAATTTATACCGCAAGTTAAGAGGAATAACGAAATATGCAAACCCCTTATTTTTAAATTATAAATATATTGCATTGTTAAAACTCTTAAAAGCACGTTTAGGCGCGTGAGCTTTTTTCTTTCTTTAAAATTTGTTTAATAGTGAGCAAACTAGCCACATAGGTCCAGGATCATAATATATAAAACTGGACGTCTAGGCAATGTGCATTGGCTGTGGGACACACTCAAATAAGGGAAGTAAGTAAGGTTGAGACTCCCTAAAGAGATATCAACAGAGTAAGAGCCACTGCCTGACTAACCTGTGAATAGAGTTCGCCACATTCTATGAGTATGGCAGACAGTAACTTCGGAGTTGTTGAGATTCTGAGTATCCTTTGTACGTGATGCCAGGTAGGTGGTAGATAGTAGGAGGGTCATCAGAAAGTTAAAACAGATTAGCTACTACTACTACTACTACTACTACTGCTACTACTACTACTACTAGTAGCAGTGTTACTTTCAACATTCTACTGCTACTACTACTACTACTAAGCTACTACTACTACTAGTAGTAATATTGTTTGTTTTATTAAATATTTGTTTTATTAGTAGTAATGTTACTGTCAACATTTTACTGCTACTACTACTACTGCTACTAGTAGCAGTGTTACTGTCAACATTCTACTATTACTTCTACTACTACTACTAGTTCTACTACTACTAGTTCTGCTACTACTTCTACTACTACTACTAGTATCAGTGTTACTTTCAACATTCTACTGCTACTGCTACTACTACTACTACTACTAGTAGCAATGTTACTTTAAACATTTTACTGAGCTACTACTTCTACAGAACTACTACTACTACTAGTAGTAGCAGTGTTATTTTCAACATTCTGCACATATTCGTAATATTGATACCTTACTTAACCTCTTAACGTACATGCCCCAATATTAGCAGCGGAATAGTAGTAGTAGTATAGTGGTTAATACGTATTAGTAATAAACAATATACCGAAAGTGAAATAAGTGCTGATGTAACAAACCAAGTAACAAGGAACCACGGTAAAATGACCAAGGAGATGTGCAGCAGAGCAGAGGTTGTTCCCTAACTTCAATGAGTTTTAGACACAAAAGATTTCATATGTTCGCTTGTTTCTATTGTAAAACGTGTGTTTGCCGAATGTAAATGGTACGCAGTTAATTAGTGAATTTATTTAAACGGTTGGCGGTAAATCGGGGTTTGCAGTAAATCGGGGCGCGGTAAATCGGGGTTTTACTGTGTATCAAATCCAGGCAAAATTGGTCACGTCATGATCTATCAACTGGCTTTACCTCGTGACTACCACTCGGTGACCACTGGTGCTGTACCACAAGGTAAATTTTCAGTTATAACACATTCAAGAAACCCTTAATTTTATCCCTTACTTATAAGGTCTTTAAGGGACGTACGTGGTGAGGTAACAAACGTGTAATACCCTTACCTACTGTAGACACTGTGTAATTAATAGTAAACTGTGGTATATCTTCTTTTTCAATTATTTGATAACTTGGAACTTCAGACAGCATTTGTCAGGAAGAATTATACAGCTATATCGTAGTAGTTAGCGTAATTTACTTACTCAAACTTTGACTTTGTTAGCTGAAATATGTTATATTACCACAATTTACAACCTTCATTACATATTCACCCTTTACCTCATCACCACATCTTTACCATCAACTTCACGCCATCTTCTGGGACAAGTCCTTGGAACTTTATGAAAAACCTTTGATTGCCTTGGAATTTTGCACTTTTGCTCATTGCTTACTATGTGTAAGTGTATGTTAGAAAATGGTGCTTGCACTTTCACTTTCACATTAAAACTGAAAAAAAAAAACCTGTGTGCAAGCAAAGTCAAACATAGTTATATCCTGGATAATAAGTTCGCAGTGGAATACTTTTGGGAAAAAGCTTTGAACAGACTTTGAGTTTGAATCGAACAAACTTTATTTGAACGGACATAAATATGAACGCTAGGGCCTCCAGCATCCACGTAGTCGTAATGTCCGTTCAAATAAAATAGGGTAAGGTATATGTAATGTATTGTTTCAGTTATTCTCGATTCCTTGCTAGCAGTCCGGTTAATTTAGTACCTTTAGTGGGTCTCATTTAATCATTAGCTCTAATTAAAGAACCTCTCAGTCTCACCCTCTCAGATTTTCACCGCTCCGTTCATTTTTATAGCTTTATTATTTTTATATTTTTACTACACTTACTAACACGTGTGCATTACAAAGGAGCAATTGTTTGCGGAGGCATTTTAGAACGGTATATATTTTAGCTTTCAGTTTCTGTTTCATTATCTTAAAATTTATTCCGCTTTTATTTTTATTCCAATCTACAGTTATTCTCGCTTCCTTGCTAGCAGTCCGGTTAATTTAGTACCTTTAGTGGGTCTCATTTAATCATTAGCTCTAATTAAAGAACCTCTCACCTTCTCAGAAAACTCCGTTTGGAGATATTCCTTATTACGCTCTAAGTTATTAATTTTCCTTGTGTTTGAATCCTGTCACTTTTTAACTGTTTTTAGTCTTTGTTATTTTCGGCCGATTTCTGCACTTTTACACTGGGTCATCTTCATAATTTCTGGGATTGAGACGACTTATATCAGCATTTAAGGAAGAGTTTGCTTGTCTGACTTACTTCATTAGACACTTCTGGTCAAGAACTGAACAAGAACCACATTCTAAAACTGGAACATCTGAATGACTCCGCAACCCAGGAATCAACTACTCAGTTATTATCGCTCAATAATCGGTTTGGTATCGACGTTACATACTTTATTATTTTTTTTTAAAAAGCTGATTTTAGAAACCAGGGAATTAAAGTTATCCTCCTAAGGCTAACATTAAATCGCTGATTTTATTTATATATATCACTTTTTTTGTTCTTTCTTTTCCTTCAAAACATTCCAGTACATTGTGCAGAAAGTTGGAGATGAAGCCGTAGTACGTACATGTAGCATTGCACTGGATCGAACTTGCAGAGTGTGGTTTCCTCCAGTCTGCGCCGCGCGCTTATAATTATATAAACATATGCGGCGCAGATCGACTGGAGGAGATTGCACTGTGTAGGCTCCGGTGTAATGTGATATGTATGTACTACGGCTTTACAAATTTTGGAAGCATGTAGGGATATATATCTGATACCAATCGTATATACTAAAAATACTCTAGCACAATTGTAACTGCAGTTTTACAGAACTCTAAATGCTTAATGAACACTCTTGCAGGTACCACCCGTATTCACACTCAGACCTGAGTTTAGTCATTTTCCGATACGAGATTGGGGACGGGTTCTATAAACAAACAAACAAACAAACAAACATGTAATGTATTGTTTTCGTATATTAGAGCTTTAGCCACAGGTAGGTTGGTCTGCTCGGAGCCACCACAGTTTCAATTCCTTGTTTAACAAGCCGTACAGCAAGGATATCCACTGTGTTCACCAGGTTAGTAGGCACATAACCAACACTACCTTGCCAAAGTCAGCTATATACTAATGTAGTCCAAATCCATCTCGCATCCAGGAGAGGTGTTACTCTTTATCAAATATGTTTACAAGTATACATTAGCATGATATTTATATATAACTACCACGTGTAAGTGTTATCTTCGCCCCCAGTGCCACCCTCGCAGAATAGGCTCGCTTTTTTGCGTGGGCACATTTCCCCATAGGTTGTTCTGGTGAGCAACTATTTTATTTGAAATATTTTTAACTTCTTTTACCTAGCTATCTTTCTGTATTACATATTTATTTAAATTTTCTAGCGACAAAACGCTCTATAGTAAATGGTGATAAGCGTATTTTGAATGGTTCTTACCATCTTCATGCCTATCAATGACCGAATCACGTTTATATTTAGGATCGAAATGGTACCAGCTGTAGTCCATTGTTAAGGCTGCGCCTGAAAGTTCCTCGAAAAACGTGTCAAACCTTGCAAAATCCCAAAATCTGACCATTGTCTTCATTTTTGATTCTTTTGTTCATCAATTCGGCCATCAATTTGTACAGTGATAAGAGTTTTGCAACTCACTTTGACCGTTAAAATATTAAACTGGAGGTATCATAATACTGATGATCGAACCAGGGCGTAGCTAGGAAAACATAATATATATATGTCTGCATAACCAGGGCGTAGGTAGGAGCTGCAGGGAGAGCACATGGGAGCGGACTGAATATGTTTCCCCTGCATTGTGACCTTAGTTTCGTTACCTTTTTAAAGACTTTGCTGTAAGCTCTCGCCTCTCCTCACTTCTAGAACCACCCTTAACCCCTAATCTGTAATCGTTTTGCGTTCTGGCCTCTAGACAAGAAATCATGGCTACGCCCTTGTATTCCACAGACTTAAACCCTTTCCAATTCTAAAACAACTCATAGTTATTGATGATTCGATATAACTTCAAGCTAACCATCTCCCCCACTAGTTATACAAGGATCTCAGAACATGTTGTCATCACAGAGATTGGGAGGACAGGAGGCAGGGCTCTACAAGCCGATTGAGGGACTCCAGGGTCCCTGCAAGTCACCAGACCACGATCTGGAGCACAGAAAGTGGGTTACTTCCTCATATTGTTATTGTTTTGGGGGTGTTTTCAATTTGATTGGGACGAAATCACATGGTATTCCAATTGCCGAGGTAGATTATTTTAACGAATCTGTCTGATTCCAGGAAGATGCCGTGTGTCCAAGCCATCGGACAGTGCTACCCAGACTACCAATTCACCCCAGAAACCTTTGAGAAGCTGTACTGCAGTGACAAGTTCCCTTATGATGAGAAACTAAAGGACTGGGTTAGGAAGCTGGTGCATCAGTCTGGAATTGAAACCATTCCTTCTTCTATCAACCCAGAGCAGTTCGATAAGGAACCTATTCCTTTTGATCCCGTCAGTAAAATATTATGCAGTTTATTCACCGTGACGAAATATAATACTTTCTCTCATAAATGCTATTTTTGAATCGTTATTATTGTAATCGTTGTTTTTTCTCTCGAAGGATTGACCTTATATCTGTGGAAAATTAGTCTGATTTAATGAAATATTTAAACACCAGAGCATCCCCGTGGACGAGCACAACTTGTACAGACGAGCTAAGGACCCCTGGTGTCCGACCACCCACGAGAGATCCCTCATCTGGGAGAAATTCGCTCCCAAACTTACTATTGGAGCTGCTAAGGATGTGATCAGGGAGTGGGGAGGAGATCCTATGACTATAACTCATGTCATCACCAACACAAGGTGGTTCATATTGACAATTTTCTGAAGCGTTTATCTCTAATTGTTTATCCGCCACTTTATATAAAAATAAGATTCCTGATATTGGATACCTTACGAGACATATTTATGTTCGACATAACGCCGGTGACCTAAATGAACAAAAATATGGGGATCTTTTCTGAAAACCGCCACATTTCGTACCCCAAATTAAATCATGGTATTTGTGGATTTTTCATATCCTTATATTACAAAAATGAAACCCAATATTTGAAAAATTAAATACAAAGATCTTCTCTAATCAGCTGTTTCATCTTGTAAACAATTTCTCCGGAGCCTTTGAAAGTTAGCGTTAACTTAATTTATAATCCTCCAGAGGGTATAGGAGACCGACAGTGTTTGTTCATGTTATCTTCCACTACTCTCGTCTCTAAACTCTCACTCTTCAGTTCAGGAACACACATGCCAGGTCTAGATCTGGCCGTAGTGGACGCTTTGGGTCTCAAGAACATCCGACAGAGGATATGCGTGGATAACACCGGGTGTTACGGCTCCTTCTCAGCTCTGACCGTGGCTCAGGCCTTCTGTGCGGCTGAACCGGATGCTGTGGTGCTGGTGACTTGCACCGAAGTCTGCTCAGTTCACATTAACAAGCACAGCAGGGACAGAAGTGAAATTCTGGGTAATATCATTTTTGGAGACGGAGCTACTTCAGCTATCCTCTCAGCAGGACAGAAGGGAGACTGGCAGGTATAGAAATGTTTTTAACTAACTCTTGTGTAGCGGCTGATTATTTTACCTGTAATTGTTAGGTTAAGAGTTAATGCTCGTTTCACTGATAATAGGTTTACTTAATTAATAATGAATCTGAGTCAATCATCACGTTAGTATTTACACTTAATTTATATTTTCTGTCCAGTAATAAGGATTTCCCCAGATGTCCCCAATAAGGATGGTAACAGCACCCCCCAGTACCCGAGACTACGTTTCTGTAAAGCTGACTGACCAGGGATACCTGCTCTACCTCAGCAAGTACCTGGCTCCTTGTCTTCACACTGCTGTTAAGCCCATGTGGAGGGACATGCTCAAGGACTCTCTAGGAGTCAAGGATTCTCATGTGAGTTCTCAGTGTTGGTTGAAGAATTAGTTGTTCGACTCTGATCTTATCAGGGTTTGACACAAACACTATACTCAGATCCTAATTGTCATTTATTGAAGATATTTGTTATTTTAAACGAGCCCCCTCAGGACTGCGACTGGGCAGTGCACCCCGGAGGTAAAGCTGTTATCAACGTGTTCCACTCCGAGGATCTGGAGATGAACTTGTCCAAAGAAGACCTGGAACCTTCCTGGGAGTCTCTCCGTCACCATGGTAACCTTGCAGCTCCTTCTATTCTCCTTGTAGTCAAAGCAGTCCTGGAACGCACTGCTGAGACTGAGAAAGATAAAGTATTTGTTATAGGTTTTGGACCCGGTATGGTCATCAAATACTACGGATTGACCAGGAAAGAATAAACCGGCAATAGTTTCTATTTCCTGTGAAAACCCGCGGAATTGTAGCAGGTTGATCTAGGTAGGTTACCATGGTAACTAGGTAGGTTACAATGGTGATCTAGGTAGGTGATCTTGGGAGATGGATTGATATTTTAAATGGGGGTTTTGGGGGTTTTTATGGTTCTATCCGATGATTTGGGAGGATGTTAGAAGTGCTATCTTCAATATTGTAAGGGTTGATGGTTTAAGATATGAGAGGAAATGTTGTACGATCCGTGACCGAGAGACTAAACAGTAAATAGCAATTAATAAGTAATAAATTAGGGAAGTTGGTCGTTTAGCTCCGGACAGTCTATGCAACGTCTATGCAACGTCCGTGCAACAACAAAAGAACCGTCTATGCAACGTCTATGCAACGTCCCTGCACAATGAACACTCTATGCACACTCCCTGCACGGTCAGTCTATGCAACGTCTATGCAACGTCTATGCAACGTCCCTGCACAGTACCATATGAACACCGGCTACTAGCCGGCTACTAGCCGGCTACTAGCCGGCTAGTAGCCACTTTTGTAATAACAGCTCCTCAACTTCACATTACCAACCGGCTACTAACCGGCACTTGAAAAGTGGTCACTAGCCGGCTACTAACCGGCTACTAGCCGGCTAGTGACCACAAAGTGGCTACTAACCGGCTACTAAGCGGTCACTAGCCGGCTATTAGCCGAGCTCTAAAGCAGACCTATTAGTTAGTAGCCGGTTCCAAACCGGCTACTAGCCGGCACTTAGAAAGCGGTCACTAGCCGGCTAATAACCGGCTACTAACCGGCTAGTCACCACCAAGTGGCTACTAACCGGCTACTAACCGGTCACTAGCCGGCTCTTAAGCGGACCTACTAGTAGCCGGTTCCAAACCGGCTACTAGCCGGCACTTAGAAAGCGGTCACTAGCCGGCTACTAACCGGCTAGTGACCGGTTAGTAGCCGGTTAGTAGCCACTTGGTGGTTACTAGCCGGTTAGTAGCCGGTTAGTAGCCGGCTAGTGACCGCTTTCTAAGTGCCGGCTAGTAGCCGGTTTGGAACCGGCTACTAGTAGGTCTGCTTTAGAGCTCGGCTAATAGCCGGCTAGTGACCGCTTAGTAGCCGGTTAGTAGCCACTTTGTGGTCACTAGCCGGCTAGTAGCCGGTTAGTAGCCGGCTAGTGACCACTTTTCAAGTGCCGGTTAGTAGCCGGTTGGTAATGTGAAGTTGAGGAGCTGTTATTACAAAAGTGGCTACTAGCCGGCTAGTAGCCGGCTAGTAGCCGGCTAGTAGCCGGTGTTCATATGGTACTGTGCAGGGACGTTGCATAGACGTTGCATAGACGTTGCATAGACTGACCGTGCAGGGAGTGTGCATAGAGTGTTCATTGTGCAGGGACGTTGCATAGACGTTGCATAGACGGTTCTTTTGTTGTTGCATGGACGTTGCATAGACGTTGCATAGACTGTCCGGAGCTAAACGACCAAGTTGCCATAAATTAATAATAAATGATTAACTAATCGTGTAATTTATAAATTAATTGCTGTTAGTTCGCTGATGTATTTTGAGTGCCAGACACTCTGTCATTATTAACCAATTGTTAACATGATTGTTGATGTTTATATTTATTATTATTTAGTTTTTATCTTAAACAATAAACATGCTGATACATAGCCAATATTATTGGAAAAGGTGTATCTACATTTTTTGTAGGTATATCGAGAGATAATTTATATATAATTTAGAATAGCAGTATCTAGCGAGATGTTTGTAGTGATCTATTTTATTATTGGTATGTATCATAAATATTATAGTGAATAGTAACAGTATTTCCGGCTGATATCTGTAAAGATGAATACTGTGTATTGTTCTTGTAGAGATAATATGCTTTTTTCAAACACGAATTTGTTTTCTAAACTTAGGGGAGAGAGGGCATGGAGGGAGGGAGGGAGGCAGGGAGGCAGATATGGAGGCAGAATAGGAGAGCAGGGGGGGGGAGGGAGGGGAGGGGGGCCGAGAGAATGGGAGGGGAGGGGATGGAGAGAAGGGAGGGGGGTAGGAAAGGAAAGATGGATAAAAACACGTACATAACTTAAACGTTGCGAAATCTCTTCTAATTAGAGAACGAGAAATTTTGAAGAGGTAAACACCTGCTGCTAGCTGAAATTCAAGTGTGAAACTAGAAACTCAATACGTGGGGCCTTCACACTGGACATGGCCATTAGTTAGTTAGTTAGTTAGTTAGTTAGTTCACTACATCATCAGCTGCTTTTGTTCCCGTTGCACCTTTGTTGTTGCCTCCATTACACATTACACCGTGTGTACTAGAGTACATTTCGTTGTGTCTTGAGGTATACTTATCATTAATACCATGTGTACATTCTGCTGATCCTTATACTGTTATCTTGTTATACCCATCAGTGACAATAATATTCAAAATTGGCTGTCTTTGTGTATCACTTTGTAGTTTACTGTGCGTTAGTGGAATGAAGCTTGATCACTATTGATGTTTGGTATATGCTCTAAACCACCATCAAAACAGGTACAGAGATATAATATCGATATAATTTTCACTCTCGATTTGATGATTTTTATATTTTACACAGTTCACAGTTCACAGTTCACCAATGGTGATAGTTTAAACTGTTGTAACACAGACGACCCCGACATTATTAGAATTATGATTCTGGGTGGGTCCGGGTCGGGTTTTTTCTGGTCGGCCTAACAATGTTAATCATTCTACAGGTGCAATTGAGGCACGATGGAGATGACATCTGCCTCATCCTACAAGAACCACCCTACAGACCTGATCCCCACAATGCCTACCTCTTCAGAAGTCTCGTCCTATTTATACTGGCGTGCTTCCTGCTCTGGATGTATCTTAATAGTATCTGGATATTCGATAGATAATAGTTAGGGGGATATATTTCAGATCCTACACTTAGCTGTATCAGTTTGTCAACTAAGCAAAGTTTTGAGAGAGCTGAAGAGTCCGGAATGCTCTTATTCAGATTATGGCCGTTATAGCTATGGAATTTAGATAGGTTAAAGAATGTGAATCAGACATATTGGGAGTAATATTTGATGATTTATGACAAGGTTCTTGATCGAATTTACTGATCCTTGAAATTCCTTAATGAAAGGTAAATGTTTACGGCAAATAGATACAATATCGACCGGCTGTTAGAGGGCTATTAGCCGGCTCGCTGATGAATGTAGATCAACATGTAGATCACGTGTAGATCAGCGTGTAGATCAACGTGTAGATCAACGTGTAGATCAACGTGTAGATTAAATTGTAGATCAACGTGTGTCAATAACTCGCTATTGACACACGTTATGCATTTTCCTTTTCGCCGGCTTCGCGTGCACATGGATTAGGCAACGTGTAGCAACACAGCAAGGGAAATGAACCTATTTATGATAATTCCGAAGAAATTAAACTATTCGTATACTCGTTCGAACCAGCATGGTATGTATTAAAATATGTGAGTTATGTTGCATATATGTGAGTATATAATTATAAAGGTTATAAGATATCTTCACTGTACACTTTTCTAAATAACAAAGAATATTACAAATGCTAGATTTCTCTTTTCATTTACAAATGAAGACTGTTCTTGTCTCAAAAGCTAAAAAGTTGAAAACGATATTGATATATATGACTTAATTTAACAAAAACACAAAATAATGAAAATCGTAAACAGTTATAACGGATAGTCAGAAAATTGACATGCACCGAGTTCGATATAAATAGTAAATCTGGCATCGATATGCGCTTCATGGTTATAAATATAGTTCACAGTTACAGTCCCTTAACTAATTAATTAATTAATTAATCAAGACTTATAAGCCGTGCTTGCTCTGTAGCTCCAGATCCTCTTTAAAGAGAATGTTAACCCCGTCTATCATACACTGCACCAGCTCCACCTCCGAGTAACCTAGCCTGTGCTTGTTGGAGATGTCGAAAGTACAGCCGGTCTGTCCGCCTGATTCTCCCCTGGTTCCACGAGGCTGCAGTTTCAGTTCCTCGCACCGAGCTTTCAGTGAGTCCAGCCCTTCAGCCGTCCAGCCGGGGAGGTCGATGTGAACGGAGGCTCTCATACCAGTTCCCAGGTTTGTGGGGCAGGAGTGGATGTAGCCGTATTTCTCGTCGAACAAGAAGTCCTTACCAGATTCCTTCTTCACTGATTCCTGAACAGCACTGATACCTCTAGCCAGTCTTTCAAACACAGCTTTAACATCTCCTCCCATCTGCATGGAGATGATCCTGGTCTGGTCCTCCTCGTTAGCCCACACCAGGAAGGTCTTGTCTTTGTTGTGGAATATTCCACGTCCCTCTGGCCAGTCTCTCTCCATTCCCGCACTGATCAAATTAGGATCCCCCGAAACGAAGAGGAAGTGATCGTCCACAAGTTGCTGTCTCACTGCTTCATCCATACCCAGAAGAGGATAGTACTCACCCTGGAGATCACCCTCAAAGTTAGAGAAAGCAATGATGAGGAGCTGCTCCAGATCTAGTCTCTGTTGCTTAGTGATCCCTGGAGACAGCCCAAACCCGTTAAAGGATCGTCCTACTCTGATCCTTACTGATTTAACAGGAGCAGCAGGGTCCACATTCCCCACGATCTTACCAGCGTCCATGTCAGAGGTGTGTCTAGCATCTGCTGAGATGCCGTGGTACTCCTGAATAATGGGGTCGAACACATCAGCAAAGTCCACGTAGGAATCGTAGTCTCCGGCGTATATTCCGCAGTGCTGGTTGTCAAACTCTACTGCACAAGAGATAGCCTGTCCCAGGGTAAATCCAGATGTCTTGGTTTCTATGCCGGAGAGTCTGTTCCATTTCTCCTCAGTTACATGCTTAGCAACCAGGGAGTGTTTAGATTGGATGTTTGGGAACGGTTTCTGAAAAGATACAAAATTAGGATTTTGGTTAATGAATAAAATATGTGAACAAATAAAATAATATTAATGGTGGTTATCTCATGTACCTCAACCTGCTAGCGGCCGTATTATAAATCAGGAATTAAAACTTGATAAATCCTCATAAACCGACCTGTTCGGCAGCTCCGGAGAATAGGGCGTTGTTAGAGGCGAGGTATCCTGCAGCTCCAGTGACACAAGCTGCTGCTGCGTACTTCCACATGCTGGCTAAAAGTGGGGAACTTGTTAGTTAGGGACAATTAGCATAACTACATACCCAGATCAAACTAGATCATGTGTTAAACTAGATCATTAATATTGAACTAAAGCATGTCTTTTGTCTACGAACAAGTTTTAGTTTTAATTATAATTTTCTGATTTAATTGGAGTATTAACCCTTATTATCTTTATTATTTATTAGGTACTGAAGATGTCCGAAAATGTTTTACCAATGATGTTATAAACATTTTGTTGGAACTTTTTAACTCATTCGTTGTCTGACTGTGGGAACTATTGATTTTTGTCTACGAACTTCAATAGGAATAAATGATTCAAATCAGTGACATGTGATTTAAGAAAATGACAGTTTTCAGTTGCAGGGTCAAATCAAGAAAAAATAGCAAGCGTTGCAAATCTCTGTGGATCAAATATCATCACGTACGAACAATCGAGATTATTGTACTTATACTAAAGTACTTATCAGCGTACTTTTATTAGATCAGTGGACTGATAAAACTGCACGTATTTAAGGTTATTCTAAACACGTAACAAGTAACAACTACATATAAACCGATGCAATGTGATTTAATTAAGATAAACACTGTTTTAACAGAAATCCACTGAAAAACTACGGGGAATGTAAGATGTCGATAATTTCTATGACAAATGAATTTACGTAATAATTTAATAACACAAGGTCGTATTACCAGATTTATAACAATGTTTTATCTTGAGGTAAAATGAATTACAATTTATAAAAATAAATCTGCAATATCACCACACAAAGTCATGCAACATGATTCTAGAATTATCTTGTTTTCAGAGCAAAGTACTTCTAGAACAATTCTAGAGTAATTCTAGCTTAAAATAACAAGAGCTGGTGATATGAGCCCTGAATGTCTTAATATGATAATTATACTTCCTAAATAAAATGAATAAAAACGTCCCGTTATATTGAAATTTTAAAACGTTACTTAAGTTAAATTACAGCAGATTTGGATTCCAACAGTAACGATGATTATCGTTCAACTTGTCCAGCAAATCCATATCATCCTGTTTCAAACTGACACCGTCAGTCCAGCTGGTGGCATTTTCAATGTTCCTCTCAGGACTGGAGGAGCGAGGGATGGTGACCACTCCCTTCTGTACTCCCCACTTGAGAAGTACCTGAGAGGGGGTGATCCCGTACTTCTCAGCTATTTCTCTAACAATAGGCTTACTAAAGAGGTCCTGTCTGCCTAGAGGCGTGTACCCCATAAACTGCACATCATGTGTATCACAGAACTCTCTTATCTCTTTCTGGTGACAGCGGGGATGGAACTCAGACTGCAGCACACTAGGAGGACCTGTTGTAGTGTACTCTAGTAACTCTGTTAAGTGGGGTACAGTGTAGTTAGAGACTCCTATGCCTCGTACCTGCCCTGATCTCAGCAGCTCTTCCAGTGCTCTCCAGGTCCCAGCCCGCATGCTCCTCATATCCACACCTTCAGAATGGTGCATACCAGGCCAGTGTACCAGCATCATATCTACATACTGGAAATGGGAGACACTCTCCAGAGTGGACTCCTTAGCTTTCTCGTAACCATGGTTATTAGGATGCACCTTACTAACAACCACTACATCCTCCCTGGTGAGACCATGTTTAGGTAGCTCTGAGGAGAGGACCTCTGCTATTAGCCCCTCATTACAGTACCACTGTGCAGTGTCAAATAGTCTCACTCCAAGAGGGAGGACTGAGTTTATAACATTCCTCAAGGTGGTCGTGTCCTCCAGCTTGTAGGTTCCGATACCGTACTTTGGTAAGCGCATGTTCTTGTTCAATTAAACTATAAGTAAGAAAGAAAGTGTGTAACAAAATACATGTCCTTTTTCAATTAAACTATAACATATTATATATATAAGTTAAGTTGAAAGTGTGTAACAAAATACGAGAATGATATATTCGAGTGATGGTGTTATTATTTACGTTTCGTAAGTTATCATGCATTAAGTTTTAAAAGTTGAATCACTATTATACTATTATGAAGTCGCGGAGTTTGTGAACCAGGAATCAGGTTATTGACAATAATAAACAAACAAATACATGATGCACTTACAGAGCTCTGATGGTAAGTGTCCGGCTCGGCGGGGATTTACAATACTCAGCAAAATAGTGAGCAGGAAGTGGCGACAAACCATTAGTTTCAACGAGAAGATCAGTATATACGAGAAATTACTGCTGGGATAAGTAAAGAACCGGGGAATGAGTGCTGAAGACGAGACTGAATAGAAAGTAACACACACACACACACACACACACACGCCACTCTCAAGTCTCAACTCTGACGAACATTCGGTACTCCAGGTGGCGTTTAGATGAGAAACCTAATACCCGCACTCTCTTAATGTACTTACAATATAATATCAGTCACAACGGACTTTAAAATTGTTATAGAAGGTTCTAGAAGGTTGAAGAATGAAACCATGGTACCACCACCGGGACTTCAGTACGTGAGTAGATTATTAATATACTTATGTTCAAAATACCAGTATGTAGGCTCTCAAAATCAGGTTTTATCACTGTCAGTTGTAGTGCAACCGCCGACGAACAGTGAATATATTATGCTTCCTTTAAATTCACAAGTATTTTCAGCGTACCACCAGGAACCTTGAGCAGATAAAAATAATTCAATCTGTAAAAAGGTGGTCACCGTATCCGCATGACAGTCAAACCTGGCTCAATACAAAAGCAGAAAGTTCTACAAGCACATACTTATCGTTACCGTTTCCTGTAGTAGTAGTGTACAATGTTGTACCTAACAATTCTCCTCCTCCTCCCTGCTCTGGCCTCCTGCAAAGTGGATCCGGAGCTCCACATGCCGACACCGGAGATGATCAGGTATATGGGGTACCAGGCAGAGGAGCACTGGGTAACCACACCAGACGGGTACATCCTGGGCATGCACCGCATACCAGCCGGCAAATCCGGAATTCGGACATCCGGACCTAAACCTGTAGTGTTCCTGCAGCACGGACTGACGGACTCCAGTGCCACCTGGGTCATGAACATGCCGAACAACAGTTTGGGTTTCATGATGGCGGACGCAGGGTTTGATGTGTGGCTAGGGAACGTGAGAGGGAACACTTACTCTACAAACCACACCTCACTTAGCCCTAAAGATGCTAAGTTCTGGGAGTTTACATTCGACGAGTTCGCTGCAATAGACCTGCCGACTATGGTTAACTTCGTTCTGAAACAGACCGGGGTTAAGACCATCTCCTACTTCGGACACTCTCAAGGGACCCTCATTGCTTTTATTGAGTTCTCCAAGAACCAGGAGTTAGCAGCAAAAATCAACATGTATGGAGCAATGGCCCCAGTTGCTCGTATAACCCACATTGAGGGACTGATAAAAGGACTGAACCTGATCGAACCACAACTCGAGAAGCTTCTAGCAGTGCTAGGAATCCACGACTTTGCGCCGAGTAACTGGTTTGTAAGGGAACTAGCAGCACTACTGTGCCCCCTAGAACAAGCTGTAGTGTGTAGAAACATCATGTTCCTCCTCTGCGGCTACGACCTCTCCAACCTGGACGAAGAGCGCGTTCCCATCTACATCGCGCACACCCCTGCTGGAACTAGCGTGCGAAACATGCTCCACTGGGCGCAGCTCCTGCGCGACGGACAGCTCCAGAGATACGACTTCGGGAGTCCTGATGAGAACTTGAAACACTACAACTCCACTACACCTCCTACCTACGATATCACAGGGTTGAATATTCCTACTGCTCTCATTGCTGGTGGGAACGACTTTCTGGCGGACCCCAGAGACGTGGCGTGGTTAGAGGGACAGCTTAACCCAAAGATTATTGTTGAGAATATCTTCTACGATGATTACAATCATCTTGATTTCGTTTGGGGGAATGACGCGTATGAGAGGGTTTATAAAACTGCTATTGCTCTTGCCAAGAAATATTCTGGAGTCTAAATGAAAGTTTCTTGAATTGAGTATTGATCATGTTGAGTACATTCATAACTGCTAATATGGTGACATTTTCATTAAGTAACAATAATTCTTTAAAGTTATAATTCATGTTTTTTTGGAAAATTTTTGATTTCAGTAGATTAACCTGTTATTTTACAATTTTAGTAAACCTAATAAACAATTAATATTTCACAGACTGTACATTCTTTGCAATAAAAGTGTACAAAACCAGCAAAATAGCTAAGAAGTATATATAAGTAAACCATGCAACAAATGTAATATCACCAAATGTATAGCAATTAAAAAGCAACACGAATGAACAAATGAAGTGACCTGTCCAATTAACCCAATAAAATAGCAGTATTCCTCACAGTCACAAGTCGTATGCACCACACAGGTATTAGTGCTTTTCATGCAACAAGTAAAACAAATCCTTTATGTCATGTTTCCAGGTATGTTAGTATGTATACTGTGCACACACAGGTATGTTAGTATGTATACTGTACATCGCCCGCATAATGCTCACATAAACTTAACAACAAAAGGTCGGAAGTTATAAGCTTTTTTCACGTCCGTGGTGTATACTATAATACTATATATCAATATTCAATATGCTCCTAATATGGTAATAACGGGTACGGTGATGGATTTTCCTAATTTCAATAAACTGTACAATACAAGCCATTTCAGTGGCTGTAAGAAAAATATTGCTCTGTGCCTACCGCTTGAGGCTTCTGAGTGTTTGCCATTAACTATCTTTGTTCAAAATTGTCCAAATTTTAACGCTGTTTCATTGATTTTAACCACAAACGAATTGATCGACCCGATAAAAGGATTTGAAAAAAGTTTCATTTTTTGTCATCACCGGCCGTTATTAAAACTTTAAAACTGGACTGAGAGTACCGATAAATAGCAAGAAATTTAGCAGGATATATAACAAAGTGAACAAACGTAGCTGAGGTAGCAGGTAAATGTGTACACAACAAACAGGTAGAGTATAATTATACTCCTGCTAAAAGAGACGGTAGCTACTATTATATAGATAGTAGGGTACTGTATATAAGAGAGTATACATTTGTCACTATTGTATAGGAGGACAGTTATATAGCTGAGGGCTGTATGTGTGCAGTATGTATAATACTCTGCTGTTATTATAGTACGGTAGGATATGTGTAATAACACGGGTATTACACATTACACATTACTCATTACACATTACTCATTACACATTACACATTACACATTACACATGTGCATTGTGCATAGTATGATTTGTACGTGGTCTCAACATCGAGATTATAAGACTAGACGTGAATAAAAAATATATTGAAATCAGTTGATCGGAAGCTTTAGCTTAACTCTAAAAGCATACACAAGAACAAAAGTGGATTAATCAAGCAAAAGATGGAAGAGTACGTACCGAGCTTGTTGAACAATAAAACAGTAACGAAAATATTGCTTGCACTGCATGTTACTCACCACAGGCTGAACAATTGAATTTAACTGTGCTTAATAACAAACTAAAGTGCACAGATAAGGAATTAATAAAGAAAACGTATTCACAGTGTACTACATTTTAAGAAAACTGTGTACAATTATAAGACTTGGATTTGATAGAATTGGATTTGATAGTGCTTGATAACATAATACTATAATAGATAGCGTGCTACGATAAGAAACGACACCGCAAACTTCGACAACGATCTAGATCTCAAGCTTTGTGTAATTTGCGTGATCAAAATACTTGTACTATACTACATACGTTATATCAGTTATCACGTATATACTACTACATGTCGCGTACAATAAAATGTATTTAGCGAACAAGGAGCAGCTCTAGAAAAGCTGCAGATACTGAGAGTAATTATCGTACTCTAACATAACAGCACATACTGTATCCTTGTATCAGACTTACGGAAGCCTTGCAAGGTCGCCGGGGAGGAACGTGAACTAGCAATATATACTGTGAGGCTGTGTGTGGAGAGTCGTAGCCATAGTGATTAATTATCACCGTTATGTAATATGTATGAAGGAGTGTAGTGATTCGTGTAATAGAGTAATAGCAGTAACTCAATAATCCGGTAATATTGAATTACAGTAAATATCATTCTTGCCACTGCTACTTTTAACTTTATAAACTGTACATGGCTAATACTTAATGATAATGAGTAAACGTTGTTAAGCTACAATTTAATGGACAGTGTCGATTGGTGGATTATTTTGCAGCCTACCTGAATAATTTATTAATCGTGCTATTCATATTATTAAGATATTAAATCTACTTGTGACATTGAGAGATGCAAATAGCAAGAATAGAATGGTGCATATTTATAGTTATACTCATTCGAAGGCCAAAAAATGCCACGAAGGCAAAAATTAGAGGCAAAAACAAAAAAAAAAGGCAAAAAATACCTTGGCCTTTATGATTTGTCGAAAAAAACGGGCAATCAATATTAACTTCATGGTAAATTAATTGTTCATTGATTTATATAAAATCAATGAATGTTTGATTGTTTGATTGTTTAATTGTTTAATTGTTTAATTGTTTAATTGTTTAATTGTTTAATTTTTTAATTGTTTGATTTTTTAATTGTTTAATTTTGTTTATTTGTTTAATTGTTTAATTGTTTAATTGTTTAATTGTTTAATTGTTTAATTGTTTAATTGTTTAATTGTTTAATTGTTTAATTGTTTAATTGTTTAATTGTTTAATTGTTTAATTGTTTAATTGTTTAATTGTTTAATTGTTTAATTGTTTAATTGTTTGATTGTTTGATTGTTTGATTGTTTGATTGTTTGATTGTTTGATTGTTTGATTGTTTGATTGTTTGATTGTTTGATTGTTTGATTGTTTGATTGTTTGATTGTTTGATTGTTTGATTGTTTGATTGTTTGATTGTTTGATTGTTTGATTGTTTGATTGTTTGATTGTTTAATTGTTTAATTGTTTAATTGTTTAATTGTTTAATTGTTTAATTGTTTAATTGTTTAATTGTTTAATTGTTTAATTGTTTATTGTTTAATTGTTTAATTGTTTAATTGTTTAATTGTTTAATTGTTTAATTGTTTAATTGTTTAATTGTTTAATTGTTTAATTGTTTAATTGTTTAATTGTTTAATTGTTTAATTGTTTAATTGTTTAATTGTTTAATTGTTTAATTGTTTAATTGTTTAATTGTTTAATTGTTTAATTGTTTAATTGTTTAATTGTTTAATTGTTTAATTGTTTAATTGTTTAATTGTTTAATTGTTTAATTGTTTAATTGTTTAATTGTTTAATTGTTTAATTGTTTAATTGTTTAATTGTTTAATTGTTTAATTGTTTAATTGTTTAATTGTTTAATTGTTTAATTGTTTAATTGTTTAATTGTTTAATTGTTTAATTGTTTAATTGTTTAATTGTTTAATTGTTTAATTGTTTAATTGTTTAATTGTTTAATTGTTTAATTGTTTAATTGTTTAATTGTTTAATTGTTTAATTGTTTAATTGTTTAATTGTTTAATTGTTTAATTGTTTAATTGTTTAACTGTTTAACTGTTTAACTGTTTAATTGTTTAATTGTTTAATTGTTTAATTGTTTAATTGTTTAATTGTTTATATTTAAATCGAGTTTCCATTATTGCATCCAATGAACAATGAATTGAAGACAAAACAAATTTGTTTTATTCAATGTACAAAACAACAATTTCAAATTTCCATCGATACGACGATACGAACTACAAAGCACACTCCCAAAATTCCGCGCATTGCAGTAAACATTTTAAAGCTTTACGTAGTACGTACCCAAAATTCAATTTTTCGTACTTATGAGTGTAGACTGTAGAGTCCCTTGCTGTTTTTACCTGGCCTAGAGTACGTACGGTTTTGTTAATTTAAAAAAGTCAAACCTTTATACTAATTATTCAAAAATAGTACAAATTTCAAAATTGGCTCGAGCAACTCTGACTGTGTGTTTAATTCAGACATTGGTTTTGTTTAAATTAATTACATATCTGTTACCATTTGGTTTGTAACCGTTTCTAAGGATAAATTTACATTTCCGATAACTCACTCAATGTCTGGCCGGACTAGTGACTCAAAATGGCGAAATAATTTTATCACCGCCCATATTTAATTTTTACAGCTACTATTCAGAATAGTCTCTGTGTCATTGGGAAGGCACTACATTTGGAGAGGCGATGTAAATTATGTTTTTCATTCGTATAACGTCTAACCAATACCTAGAACTGAATAAGAAATCTGTTCAAATGCAGTACAGAGCTCAGAAATAATTGCAAGGCACTCATTTCTAAGAGGTAGCTCGGTCCATCTCAGTATAACACTTTAAAAATATTTGTCAAACTAAAATATGCTACCTGGACTCTAGTTTAAAATTAATACGTACTGAAATAATCTGAAATTAAGCGCCCTCATTTCCAAGAGGTTGCTCTATTAATTGGTAGTCTGGTCGTTCACAGTCAAACCCATTAGACATGTTTGTAACTACTGCCGCAAATTTACTTGCTCTCTTCGTAGTAGGAGTCTTTGCCACTGATGAACCCTTGACAACAGCACAAAGGGGTGTTCCGGTACCCTTTGAAACATCGTGCGTCTTGACAGTAGTAGGGACTAGCTCCAATGTCTATAGTGGCGACGTAATATTTCTCAAAGGGAACCAAGAATTAGTTTTGTTTGGATTACATCCTGAATGGGAAGGTGGCAGCTTGGCTGTCAAAAACGGTGTCTTCAAACGGGGAAAGAAGCAGTGGGATTTCCAGTGGGTGGCCATGACTTACCCTAGTGGAAAAGGCCGAGAGCGGGAGTACACATTTGAGTTCCAGGCCAATGAGTTAGTCATGAAATGTCAAGGAAAGGCTATGATCTCCATTCTCTACAATGAGCTAACAACGGACCCTGAGGGATTTTTGAATGATATAGATACTGTCAAGTTCAAGCCAGGAGACTCTAATCTTAAGTTCACTAAGTCATGTTCAGTGTCCACTGAACGTAAAGCCTTACCAAAGCTAATCATGTACGACAACTCTAACCAAGGAGGAACTGCCGTTACAATTATTGGCCCAATTGATAACTTGATTGATATAAATTTCAACGATAGGACCGGCAGCGTTTGGGCAGTCACTGGAGATTGGGAACTTTACAGAGAGACCGCATACAGGGGTGATAGGTTCTTCGTGGAGGAAGGTCAGAAGCT